GACGTCTGTGCAAGTGCTTTGGAAGTCATCAGCTGTACTCCATATTTTGGGTGCGGTTTTTAAGATTCTGAGCCTGAAGGCCCACCCCCACCTTGCCAGCTCAGCCATCACCCACTGTCACCTGGTGCAACTATCTTTTCTGGGACAGGAAGAGGCCACTTGGCAGTCAGCATGAAGGGCGCAGAGACAAGAGCGCTCAGCATTTGACTTCTCTGCTCACTCAGTGATCAAAGGTGGGCTCTCCCTTCAGATTTTAAGCTGCTGGTACAGTGACACTCATCCCCGCTGGGAAGTCCATCAGAGGGTCAGGAAACGCCAATGCTTGCAGGAAGTTGTCCTTCCTTCCCTTTTTAGCTGTACCCTTGCCTAGAAGACTCATTGTTTTAGGACACGTCTGCAGCCACAGTCACAGTTTTAGTACACGCTGTTGATAGCACCTTGCTGACGCCACTTTTTCTTTAAGAGAGTTTGTTTATTGCCCGAAGATGCAGCACAATGTCATGGTTAAGACAGACACTGAGGCCCTCCACGGTTCAAATGCCTTTCCTTTCCATCTGTAAGCCTCAATTTCCTGGTCTGTAAAATGGCACCAATGTCTCATGGGGTTGGGGGGGATTAAATATGATGGTGTAGGAAAAACAAACGTTAGCTGCTATTATGTGTGTATGTGCGTACGTGTGCGCACTGGCAAGAAAGTGTTCATTTGTTTACTTATTCATTCATTCAATCCATATTACCTACGTGCCAGGCACTAAGCTAGGCAGTGGGAACAAAAAAGATGAGTGAGAGCTTCGTGTCCTTGGAGAAGCCACAAGCTTTGGGAAGATGCAGGCAAACAGATGGGCCACTGTGTAGTGGGGGTTACCCCAAGTGCTTTGCGGGGGCTTTGAGGGCAACAGAGGAATGCAGCTAATCTAGTACTGAGCAGACAGGGGCATGAGCGCAGAGGGGCTATAGGGAAGGGCTTCTTGGGAAGGTAGTGACTGCGACCAGCCCAGAAGTGGATCAAGGGAGGTAGGGCGTTCCAGGCAGAAACAGCAGCAAAGAGAAGAGGGCATGAGGTGTTCTGAAAACTGTACAGAACGTGATGGGGAAGTTGGACACACCCGTGGCTGCAGAAACCTGTGGCTGCGGAAAGGGCCCGGGTCCTAACCATCAAGGCCCCTCCAGGGCAAGTGACGCTGGAGCCAATTTCCAAATGCAACACACAACGGTGGATGTGAGAATAAACACACTAGCTAATGATAATACTGTCCATTTGTCTGTAACAGTCCCCTGAATTCTTTCCTCCCACCAGATCTAGACTTTTATAAACCATTCTGCAAACTCTGAGCATCCAGATTCAACGAGACCACGCTACGTGCAGTCCCGGCCCCCAGGGGCTCACGGTGCAGGAAAGGGGAGGAGTGGACACAGCAGTAAACACAAGAGGAGGGAGGTGGTGGTGGCGGGGGGGGGGGGGGTGCGCGCCCCCCCCTGCCGTTGCAGGGAACACGGGTTCGTGCCCCGTCCGGGAAGATCCCACATGCCGCGGAGCGGGGGGGAGGGGGCGGTCCTGAAAGATGAATCAGCAAAATGCTCTGAAGAACAAGAAGAGGGAGGAGGGGCTTTAGAGTCAGGGAGGAAAGGAAAAGTTCTTTGGTGGCACAGCTGAGATGCAAAAATGTGTCTTGCATTTGCAGGCTCCCACCTGGGGGAGATGCTGGAGTTTCACAAGCCCAAGCATTTGTTCCCCTGCTGCCTGCTTTGTGAAATGGATATGTCACAGTCACCACAAGACGGGGACGTCTGGGCTGTGCAACAAGTAACAGCTTCTCTACACAGTTCTGGGACAAGATTCTGAGCTCTCCATCTCTCACCTTCTTATAACAATTGCAAAACCCAACTGGTGGCCGACTTTGCTGGAAATAGACCTTCAAAGCCTGCTCTGGGGGGAGAGGGCTCTGGAAAGTGATCACAGGCCTGAAGTCCTCTGTCACCGAACGGGAGCTCTGTGTCGTCACCTATAAACGGTAATAAGTCCTAATACTGACGTTATGCAGCTGCTGTAAAGTTACACCAGACACCACACGGTAAAACCAAGAGGAGCTGAACGACACGATCAAGGTTGTATGACTAGGAAGTGGCTCAGCTGGATTTGAACCCAGGTGAGCAGCCCCACGGCTCTCCCAGGAACAGAAGAGGCTATGTGTCTTGGTCCCAGAGGGAAGGAAGGTGGAGTGGCTGCTCTCGGGCCAACGGCAGTTCTTCTCAGGGGCCTTTGCTATCTGTAGAGCTTGGCAGGGCACACAGATTGATGGCTAGAAAAGAAACCCGTTTGCAAGCTCAAATGAAACGGATGAGAAATTGCAACATACAGATCTGTAGAGCAACGTTAATTCCTCTGATATGTGTAACGATGCTTAGCTTATCTGTACCCGTAAATGTGTTGCAGGCTGTATGCAGACTAGCGGGGCTTCCGAGGCTGCAAATCAGATGAAGAATCTGGGAGCGCCTGGCAGCATCGCATGCTGCTTTTGGTGGAAATGTCCACGTGGCAGAAACATTGTGTCTCACGTGGAAAAAATGAAAGATATAAACCACCGTGGCTCCCTCTCCATGCGTTGGCATGTGTAAAATTTATTAGCATAATAGCTCGCTCCACTGTACCCTGGCTCCTGGGGATTCTTCTAGACACGCTGCCTTCCTTTCCTGCTGGGACATCCTTTGGGTCCATTAATGGACCTGATGCCTCTGGGAATTGCTAATTCTAAATTAAAAATCATTAACTATCCAAGTGGAGCCCATGTACACACAGGCCATAACTTGTGATGGCTCTGATCTAGTGAGCCTCAGACCCATCTACCCAACTGTGTACTTGTCAGCTCAGACACAGCAAGTTCAGCACTCATCTTGTCACTGGTTCGACTTTGCCCACGGCGTGCCTCCCCTGCTACTATACTTGCTCCAGAATCTAAGCTGCCTTGGTGACCGCTGTGTCCCTGGAGCCTGGCGGGATCTCAGTAAATGCTGACTGAATTAACAAATGGGTTAACCAGTAATTGAATCAGAGCCCGAGAATTCTGAAACCATGGCATCCCTCAAGACTCAGCTCAGCTCTGCACTGGACCCAAGAGGTGGGCTTTCGCTGCCTGTTGACTGTATTTCCATAACCTACGGTGCTGCCTGGTACTGTAGTTCTCATCACATCAGGCCGCCTTTCTGACTTGCTGGCCTGTCGCTACATTGGACAGCGAGTTCTCTGATGGCACAATTGCATCATTTTCATCTGTGTATCCCCAGAGATGAAAGATGAGCGATTACAGGCATAGCTCTTACCATCAGAGTCTTAGGAGAGCAGGGCCATCATCCTGGGAAGAGGAAATACCTGGAAAGGCTGCCACCACCCAGGTCCAAGGTGCCCTCTGCAAGGCCCGCTCTCAAGCCAGCCCCATCTATTGCCGTGGATCTGGTCCCTGGGACACTGTGTGGCCAGCTGGGCTATCAGAGGGTCAGCAGGCATCACCCTCCAGCCACCTGGGGGCTCCTGAAGGGGGCCCGTTTGGGGAACCTATTTTAAGAAGCACATACTCCTGAGGGTCCAAGCCAGGGCAACCTCAGAGAACACAAAGCACGGGGCCTTCTCATCTAACAGAGCATTCTGGCCCTTAGAGAGATGAATTTTAAGATCATCTACGATTCCACGTGACGACTTTGGTAGAAGCCATCCCGGAACATGGAGTCAAACATGACATTAGGTTCTTAAATTAGTCTCTTCTGGGAATTAGCACAAGTTCTTTGAATTCCTCGCTGGCTAACAGGTGGTATTAACTGACAATCTTCCAAGGGCAGTGCCTGAATTCTCACGACCACACTGTCACCGAGGAACGGTGTTACAACTTTATACTTGTGGAGAGAAGCGCGGAGAAGTTAATGATCGCAGAGCCGGTGAAGGGCAGAGCGGGGCTCTGAGTGCAAGGTCACCCGAGGTTCTCTCCGTGGTTCTCAAGCATCTCCATAGAAAGTGCACCTCATTAGACAGAGCTCAGTAAAGAGACTCTCATCAAATCTCTAAATCGAGCACTGCAAGTCTGAGGCAGCAGCTGCTGAAAGTGGGCCTGGCTGTGTGCCCGGTTCCTGCAGAGGTAACGGTCCACCTGTTTCCCACCCCAGCCTCCCTGAGAAGTAACACCCCAGCCTTGCTCCTGCCCACTTTCAAAATCCAGCAAGTCCTTCAGGGGACCCAGCAGGAAGAGGTCCTTGAATTAGGGACCACTGTGTATACCTCTCAGTGGGGAGGGGGCCAGGATAGACACCGAGCAGCTTTGAGGCTGTCCGGTCGTCATCCTCACCTCTTAAGAGACTGTAGCAAATGTGGAAATAACCAGGGGCTGTTGACGGGGTTCCTCATCCTCATTCTGCATCGCTGTTCGTGTCTTGCCATTTTGTCAGAAAAGATGCACTTGTTTCCTCTAAAAATGATGATGAGCGCTCTGCTGCATTCTAAAGTGCGACTTTGCTCTCAAGACTGAGTTAATCTTTCTTTCCAGAGGAACACAGCTCTCATCTCTAATGGAGGGGATGGAAGGACAGAGTGAATCTAAGGAAATACGCTTTGGATGTGGCTTTTCCAGAACGCCTGCATCGGCAAAGGGAGCCAACTTCAAAGTCTTACACTGTCTCGATGCGCTTGTAAGTGGCCTGAGAGAGTTCAAAGGAGGGCCATGAAACGTCCAGCTCCCTCCTTTGCTCGCTGCCTTTCTTCCTTCTACGCACACTTACGTGTATCATACATCGGGTGCTATGTTAGCCACTGGCCTCTCGGCCTGGGGTCGGTGGGGGTCTGCTGCCCCTTCGCTAAATGGTAGTAACTTTGTGTTTGCTTTATGAAGTGCATTTACTTCTCAGGGATCAGTTAAGCACAGGGCCAGGGAAGGCAAATCACGCAAAACCAATGTGATTCTACTTCAGGTCCCCCAGCATCCGGTCCTGAGTGCCACCTGCCAATGAGGCGCCCTTACCTCTCAGCTGCTGGAAGCAGGAGGCACTGCTGTCTGGCTCCAGGGGGTGCCTCAGGACCCCGTTGCTGGGCTTGGGTCTCTCGTATTCTCTTTCGGGGAGCATGGCCTGTTCGCTCTCCAGGGCGGAGTCTGAGTGCGGGGGCAGAGACTGTGGAAACCCAAACATCCAGACGGAAGAAAAGAAGAGTAAGGCACCGCAGAGCAGAAACCCACCCCACCAGGCTCCGATCCAGCGGGGGTCGTCCGGGGTGATGTCCAGGTTACCTGCAATCGGAAAGAGCACGGTTAGCAGGAGGGGACCTGGCGGGGCCTGGCATTTGGTGGAGGTTTGCAATCAGTTCTACAGGTAGGCCGAGGGCTCTGGAGACGGCCTGGGGCGGGGAAGACTGGCCCGTGGGCAAAGCGGCCTAGGGCTTCACAGCCGTGCTTCTGGTTTTCCTCAAGCTGAAGGTTGATGGCTTTCCCTCCTTCATCTTCTTGTCTACCCTGTGCTCGCATCAGTCTAAACAAAAAGAGTCAGAAGCCAGACACCCTCTGAACTGAGGCTGGAATTGACTGGCTTGGCAGAGCTGCGAAGGTCTGCTAACAAAAACACAGGGAAACAGAAACATTTATTGCTCAAGGGTATAGTTTTCTATGTATATTCACTCGCACCCCCTTCGAAGCAGCTAACCTGAGATCCCATTCCACACCCCACCCCCGTCTTAAATCAGTTCACAGATCACACGGGGCGGCGCAGTATGGAAATCAAGAGCCAGGATACCTGGACTGAAATCCTGCCCACTTCTCGCTGTGCGACCTCAGGCCAGCAATTGTGAACTCTTCGTGACTGATGTGTATAACACTGATGTTATGATGGTACTTACCCTTATCGAGTTGGGAAGATCAAATGAGCACCACCAGACACAAAGTGTTCAGGATAGTGCCTGGCACGTGCTTAAGCACTTAAATGATGTTAGCTTAATATTTATGCTGAGGGTCGTGTTTCCAAGCTGCTAGGGGATGGGTTAATTCAAACCCTGGTTGTGACCTGTGGTCTGGGGGGGGGGTCAGTCCTCTTTTAGAAAGTTCTGCAGCCAAGGCCCATGCTTTAAGGCAACATGCATGTGGTTTGGCTCTCTTGTCTGTGACTACTTTGATCTGCCAGCTGAAGTCAAGAAGATGTAAGCTACCGCTTACCCCTTGGGAGATGTTTTTCCCTCTCTCTACAACTGCCTTTCGGAGCAGGGCGCTCCTGCATGGGCTGCTTAGAGATGTCTCTTTGATGATGATCCCATATACCTGGAGCATGGGAGGAAATTCTTGGAGGTCTGGACCACAGCATATGAGCTAAGAACTAATAGGGCTGCAGGCCTGGACCAGATAGATGGATGGGCTTGGCAAGAGAAATGACCACAGTCACCAGATGAGCATGCCCCCCCTCTGTAAAGTGCTCTCCCTGAAGACTCTTCAGCTAACAGGAACGAAAACACCAGCCGTCATTTACTGAGGGCTTACTCTGCACAAGGCACCATGCGGAGTGCGTTCTTAACTGTTCCAATCAACCCTCCCCGCAACCCTACGAGGTAGGGCCTTTTACTGTCCCTATTTCATATAGATGGAGAAATCGAGGCTTAGAAAGGCTGGGTGCCTTGTCTATATCCACAGAGTTGAAGACTGGAACACAGGCATCCAGCCGCCAAGGGCTACACAATCTTTT